TACCCGTGGTGGGCAGAGCACAGATAGCCCATTGTGTATCTTTGTGCTTAATTACAAACAAACGCATTCGTCATCTTTACTCTTGTTTTTTTTAATTCAGTAGTATTAGTTGGAATATTTGAATTATGCATAGTTGTATTTTTATATCTAAACTAATATTTAAAATTCTTAATAGCTTGATAGCTACTCTATCTTTTAATCCCGCGGTTTTACTCATACTAAGAAATTCTACAACAAAAGTTACAAGAATCTTAGAAAATGGCTCCGTGGATGTGATTAAATGAACGAACCCGCCTGCATGTGGCTAAGTGATCAAATTTGCCTGGATATGATTAAAGGATCGAATCTGTCTGAATATGACTACAGGGACAAATCTCTGTGGAGTGTGACTGAGGGAACAAATCTGTCTGAATGTGACTAAAGGGACAAATCTATGTGGGTGTGACTAAGGGAACAACTCTGTCTGAATGTGACTAAAGGGACAAATCTCTGTGGGTGTGACTAAGGGAACAACTCTGTCTGAATGTGACTAAAGGGACAAATCTCTGTGGAGTGTGACTAAGGGAACAAATCTGTCTGAAAATGACTAAAGGAAAAATAATATCTACCTGGATGTGACTAAATGAACCAGCTTTGGTTGTAACTAAATGATTGTATTAATAAGTATGCTTAGATGTTAGGAAATGAACAGATATGCATTAGCGTGACTAAATAAAGAAATCTTCCAGAAAAACGAATAAATGTGTTTGAATGTTATGAAATGGCTCTGTAAACACACATCTGCCTTTGTGTGACTAAATGGATCGATAAACACGCGTCTTTGTGTGACTAAATGGATCTATAAATACGTGTCTTTGTGTGACTAAATGGATCTATAAACACGTTTCTTTGTGTGACTAAATGGATCTATAAACACGTTTCTTTGTGTGACTAAATGGATCTATAAATACGTGTCTTTGTGTGACTAAATGGATCTATAAACACGTTTCTTTGTGTGACTAAATTGATCTATAAACACGTTTCTTTGTGTGACTAAATTGATCTATAAACAGGTTTCTTTGTGTGACTATATAGATCTATAAACACATCTGCCCGAGTTATTAAACTAATTTGCCTGAAAGTAATTAAATGGTACGTTGACCAAGGTCTGACATAAATAGTTTATTAAAACCTTCCAAAACTAGTTGGGGGTATGTAGAGCGCGCACACACACACACACACACATATATATACACAGAAATGGCCTTTTACAGTAATTCAGTACTGATGTCATGCGATTAAAATCATTCTATCCATCAGTTTGTCAAATACTAAACCAACACATCAGGTAATAAAAGGATCTAACGATTAACGTATATCTATCAAATTATTAGTAAGTACGTAAGCATTCAGTTAATTTAAAGCTGAGTGGGTGTATCTAACTAACTGTCAACAGCTGCTTTCACCTGGAAACAGAGAGAGAAAATCCGAAGTAAGCTATATTCTGCCAACGTCTTCACTACTACTGCTCTGAGCAACATCTTTTTTTTTTACATAATCTTGAGTAACTGATGGACAAACAATACGGCAATGAAAAACTGGGCACAATCAGTCCGGCTGCAGTATGACAAACAATTTAAAATCCAAAAACTCTACCCTAACCATTCCCTTTCCCTAAAATAAAGTGTTCTCTGTTGTGCCCCAACTTAATTCGCGCATGCGTGTTTCAAAACTGATATGTATGTGGAGGATTTAAAGCGACTTGATTAGCTTCTTCGTTCACATTCACTCATTTGTATTGTAAAATCAGTACATTGATTTAAATTAAATTAAAATGTTATCACAAAGGCTTTCATATCAGATTCTGACAAATCTGCGGAATGCAGTCTTTCTTGTTTTTGTTTTCTGGGCCAAGTATGGCCTAATAGTTGGAGTGTACTGGACTGTGAATATCCTCATATACGATTCGTGTCTTGTTGCCACAAAATTTGCAACGCGTTCTGTACTGCATACGGCTGTGGGTGCGGTAGAAGTGTAATAGTTATATTCCACTATTTGGTCAAATGAGAGTAGCCTTAGATTTGGTGTTGGTGCTACTGACTAGCTGTCTTTCTTCCTGTCTATCATTTCAAAATTAAGGTCGGCTTACGAAAATAGCTCTTTTATAGTTTTGAGTGAAAAATCTGGAGAAACAAACAAACATTGAGACTCTTTTTTTTGTCAATCAAGCCAACTGGTTGTCGTTTTTCAAAAAAATGTTATGTTGTCTTATACAATATAGTTTATTTTTTTTCTTATTGTTAAGCACAAAGCTACACAATGGGCTATTTGTGCTGTGCCAACCACGGGTATCGAAAAACGGTTTTTTAGCGTCACAAGCTTTCAGAATTACTGCTGAGCCATTGGGGTAATTTAATACATTTAATGATAAAGAAAGCGTTTTCTTTTTTTTAGCTTAGAGTTCTACAGGGTAGCTTTATTAATCTTCACTGACAGGTCTAAGTTCATGGTAGACGCTACCACTTAGTTGCTAACTTTCTCGTAAGTTCAGTACTTATCGTATCTCTAGGAAAACTGCACTAACTGATTAACTGCATATATTAATAGTCAAATTAACTTACAAATCCGACAACTCAATAAACAGTCAATCAATCATTGAAATTGACATACAAATCAATGATATTTCTAGTGTAATTTGCTTTTTATATGACTCAAATCGTTCCCTAAAATTTCAGGAAGGTTCTAGTCAATAAGCCACGCCTCATCACGTGCCGCGAACCCTCCCTCTGACAAAACAACAATACAAAGTTATAAATGAATAACATATAACATAACCTAAATTAGTATATAAATAGATGCATGAATTTACCTGAATACAACAGTAGCGCCCTGCATTTCTGAGACGGGTTCATCTGTACCAAGGCTCCCAGGATATTTTCCTGTTTTACGCCTCCTTGGTTGGTATTTATAGTCTGGATAGTTCTTCTTGTGTACTTGTCTCAGTCTCTCAGCTTCTTCAACAAATGGGCGTTTATCTTCATCTCCCAGAAGTCTATGAAAAAGTTACAACAAGTATTTCATCTGTAAGTTTCCTTACAAGATCGTAAACGACAAATTTAAGTAAAGTAGCCCCGTTATTAGGATAGGCGTTCTCAAACTATGGGTGGACCGAGACTGAAATGGGAAGATGCATTTTTTTCGTAAATACTAATATATTTATTTAACGAGAGTCACTTTGCAGTCTGCTTGTTCTATAGATAAAGCACTTCATTAAAAAATATTCTACATGTTTTGTAAGCACTTCATTTTTTAAAAATATTCTCCAAGTTTTGTGTTTTAATGATAAAAGCTACGAACTAGTTTGACAATATACTGTATTATTATACTGGTTTGAAAACCCCTGAACTAAGTTATACCTGACAGATTACGTTTTACTTACTTATAAATACACCTAAAATCAGAAACCTTAAATATAATAATACGATTCTTTTAGTCAATAAGTGGTTCATATAAGTTCAAATTTAACTGGACACTCTTCACTAATGATAAGTTTATGAAATGTAATGCAACATGACGCCATATTCGTAAGAAAATAAAACCAAATAAGCGCATTTCAGAAGTATCAAATATATATTATTTTATTAGTTATTTTTTTGCACTTAGTATATTCAGCATACTTTTTGTACGTACATTGTTCTCAGTAGGAAACTTTTTATGCTGGGGTGTTTATATAACACTAAACAGGATTGAAACCACTATTTTAGAAAAATTTAATAAAATGGGTATAAAACGCATATATTCTGGGATTGCTCTCCCCCTATTATAGAAAAATGAACTGTACAAGATTACAACACGTTTTGGTAGTTTATACTGTGATTGGCTGTCACCCAACCAATTAGAAAGTGCAACAACAGCATAATGTCTATAAAAGTAACAAGCAGTCATACTATTCCTAGCAGTAGTAAGGTGAGTGCAATCGTTAGGGGATTTTGGCTGGTAAAAGCTATTCAGTGCGACAGACTGAGGCGAAATGTTGTGTTTCAGTAGAAGTTGTATATCAACTCTGAAAAGGGGTATGGAGAACTAATACAGTTGATAATGTAAGCTGTAGAGATAGAAAACCCAAACTCTTTAAAATTAATGTTGAGTAATTCAGAGTATACTTTTTATATAATACACGACAATCCAGTAAAGATACCGATAATCGATGAAACTTTAATGCCATTTTTAACCACAATGGCATCTTATGCATACATGAGCTAAACGGCCAGGTCAATGACCTCAAGGTTCAGACATAGCCGATCCTAATTTGAACTGTTGACGATAGGGAGGGCAACCAGTCTGCATCACCTATCACCTACACGGCAACTCCTAACGAATTGACATTCAGTTTTATCTCACAACTGAAAGTACAGAGCGTGTTCGGTGATATATTGCGGGAGCGAACCTTAGACCTTTCGCCTCGAAGATCGGTTAACCATTAGGCCACAACCAGTCTACCATAAGAAATTCTCATTAACGTTTCGTTTTTATGTATTCTAGCCTATTAATCCCATGCTCTAGATAAATGGATATAAAAAGACACGTCTGTATATTTTTCAAGTGTACGAAATCAACTGTGTTTTTCGACCAACACTCTAATACTAATTCGACTGTGTAAGTTCCATCTTAAATCTCGTGTTAAAGCGATCAAGTATAGGAAGTGGTAAAACATTTATAAAAGTTTTACGGCAGCGCATATAAAGTTAAGTTCGCATAGCAATATTTTGCATTTCAAAACAAAGTTTCAGACACTGTGGAACTTCTGCCCAACCAAACTGAAGTTTCAGATATTTTTCAGCTGTTACTGAACATTAAAACGTTATCAGTAAGTGAGAAAACTATTATAAGACGTCAAACTATATACTGTTAACAGATGTGGAGAAATATTTCTAATGCCCTGTAGCATGAGGCGTCTAGAGATTTGCGTCTTTAAATGTTACGTTAGCGTTGTGTACGTCAATTATGATGAAAACAACTCATTCAGGGAAACTATCATAGCATCCAAGATGCACGCTTACAAACCTCCAAGTTGAAGGCTGGAAGTGTCCAGTTGTATTGCAACTAAAACACAGTAAAGGACATGGGCATCTGTACTTGTACATGTGTTTGTTAGTACAAACTTTCTTACAAATGTGGTTCAGAAAGAACACACATAAAAAAATAGTTATACGGCATGTTGTCATAACGTCCATTATGTGTTGTCATGGTGATTAAAAACAAACAAACCTGTCTTTAATTAGCGCAACATAATGTCATGTCCGCTGTGTGTTGCAATAGTGACAAATAAATCTGTCTTTAATTAAGAGCGACATAATGTCACGTCCACTATGTGTTGTCATGGTTTTAAACAAACCTGTCTTTAACCAGCACGACATAAATGTCACGTCCACTATGTGTTGTCATGGTTTTAAACAAACCTGTTTTCAACCAGCACGACATAAATATCACGTCCACTATGTGTTGTCATGGTTTTAAACAAACCTGTTTTCAACCAGCACGACATAAATATCACGTCCACTATGTGTTGTCATGGTTTTAAACAAACCCCAACACATAGTGGACGTGATATTTATGTCGTGCTGGTTAAAGACAGATTTGTTTAAAACCATGACAACATATAGTGAATGTGGCATTTATATCGTGCTGGTTAAAGACAGGTTTGTTTAAAACCATGACAACACAATAATGGACGTGACATTATGTCATGCTAGTTAAAGACAGGTTTGTTTCTCTTCATGACAACACACAGTGGGCGTGAAATTATGTCGTGCTGGTTAAAGACTTATGGTTTTAAACAAATCTGTCTTTAACCAGCACGACATAAATATCACGTCCACTATGTGTTGTCATGGTTTTAAACAAACCCGTCTTTAATTAGAGCGACATAATGCCACGTCCACTATGTGTTGTCATGGTTTTAAACAAACCTGTCTTTAAACAGCACGACATAATTTCACGCCCACTGTGTGTTGTCACGACGAGAAACAAACCTGCATTTAATTAGCATGACATAATGTCACGTCCATTATGTGTTGTCATGGTGATAAAAAACAAATAAACCTGTCTTTAATTAGCATGACATAATGTCACACCTACCGTATGTTGTAATGGTGATAAAAAAACCTTTGCATCAACACGACTTTACGTCATGCCCACTGTGTGTTGTCATGGTGATTAATAAACCCTCCTTGAAATCCGCACCTCTTCAATTGCTTCATGTCTCTTTCACATCGTTACTTGGCGAACAACAAAAACTGACCATCCACATTTACTGCTGAAAATAAAAATAACAGCGCCGTACCAAGTATGAGAATAATTCACACTTGTTGAGTAACTCATTTAATGTTTGTGAGATCCGTGAAAAGTACTTTACGTGATGCATATGTGTGATTGCGAAGTGGATATTTCTTTATATACGTTACTCCACCGTTTTGTATATAGAAGTTATTACATCGCACTGTTATATAGAAGTTATTATATCGTAATGTTGTATAGAAGTTATTACATCGTACTGTTGTATAGAAGTTATTACATCGTACTGTTATATTGAAGTTATTAAATCGTATTGTTATATAGAAGTTATTACATCCTACTGTTTATATACGTTATTACACTGTTATGTTTATATACGTTATTACACTGTTATGTTTATATACGTTATTACGTCGTACTGCTTATATACTTTACTACAACATTCTGTTTATATATATGTTATTACGCTGTTATGGTTATATACATTGTTACACCGTTATGTTTATATACGTTATAATATCATACTTTCTATATACGTTATCACGTCGTATACTGTTAGTATACGTTATTAATCTCTTCTATATATATATAGGTTATTACAGTGTTATGTTTACATAACTTATTACACCATTAGGTTTATATATGTTATTACGTCGTTATTATTATATACGTTATTACAACGTTATGTTTATGTACGTAATCACGTCGTACTGTTTATACACGTATTTACGTTTATTAAGTGCGATTTATACGTGTAAAAGTACTAAAATATCCACACAAAGACACATACACATATGCACGTGCTTGTGTGAATATGACAGAATATGTGTCACTGAAACCAAATACATCCTATTTTTTTAACAGTTACTGTGAATTATTATCTGTGAAGTCTTACGTATTAGGGTTAAACGTACTAGATCAAGTAGGGGTTTTGTTTTACTTCACTATGATGGTTAGGTCGCTCGACTCGCAATCTGCGGGTCGCGGGTTCGAATCCCCGTCCCACCAAACGTGCTCGCCCTATCAGCCGTGGTGGACGTTATAATGTGACGGCCAATCACACTATTCCTTGGTAAAAGAGTAGCCAAAGAGTTGGTAGTGATGACTAGCTGCCTTCCCTCTAAATTAGGGACGGCTAGCGAAGATAGCCCTCGTGTAGCTGTACGCGAAATTCATAACAAACAAAGAAATCTTCACTATGCCGGCAGGAACGAGCTTACGAAACATCACTTTTCGTGGCACGTGCGATGGGAATGAGAAGTAACTCATAGTTTTATATAGAATGATAAATATCCAATTTATTTTTTATTTTATTTGAATCATAGTGGGAAACCAACAAACCCCGAATACGTTTAGTTTAATTGAAAACTAAATGCCAAGAAACATTTTCAGCTAATTATTATTAGGCCAGGGGCAGAATGGCCATTTATTAACTTACGGCACTAATAATTCAGCTACTTTGACATCATAAAATAGAAATAATCCTGTTATTGATAACTATGTTGTTATGGGAAGAAATGCAGAAGTTGATGCATACGTACAAGGCGTGGCAAAAGTGAGTATACAGTTGTTTCGTTTACAAAAAAAGTTTAATATCTAATGTCTTACTCTGAAACACACAATAATTAAATTGGTTTCAGTTGTCCGCGTGCTATTTTCTATAGTGTCAATTCTAACTTTTGCCCAACTCTGTATATTGTAGCTATGACAAAACAATTAGTATAATTCTAATAAATTATAAGAGTAAATGTAAAGAAGAATATGTTACATCTGCCATAACCAGTGCCGACGAAGCCTTTCTCCTAACACCAAAACTCGTCAGGCCGGCTGGGACACTACAGACGTATTAGTGGTCCAGGATCGTTAAATCATCAGCTTTCATGAACAACACTTGTTATGCTGTGAATTAGATTAAGTAGAATGTTAAGGTGACATTTTGAGAGTTAATTCTGATAAATAGAAGAAACTTACCTCCAAAGTCTTCCCAGGGTCTTGCTGAGCTCAGCGTTGTGGAGGTGGGGGTATTGATCTGCTAGCTTCCGGCGGGCAGCTTGAGCCCACACCATGAAGGCATTCATGGGTCTTTTTACGTAAGGTCTTCGTTTTGATGAATTGTTGTGCTTTGGCGGGTTGGACACGAGCGTCCAGTCATACCCTTTCAAAACCCTCGAAACAGCATCGTGAATGGACGACGGGAACCCCAAATTTTCATCGATGTTCTCTTGACTCTTGTTGTCCTCGGGCATGAGATCAGATAATTGATGCCCCTGCCTCTGGTCTTGTCCACTCCCCGAACTTTCGTGGCCACATTTTGTCTCCTCCTCAGTTTCCCCTTTTGCCTGCACAACGGACATAGCGACAGTTCTGAAAATGTAGGAAGCTATTTCTTTTTTATTCCATTTTTTCCAGAAATCTAAAGGAAAAATATTTTAAAAAAACAGCCGATAGATTACGCTCTATAAATGCAACTTTCAAAGAAAGCGGTAGGCGGTGATATTTCAAACAGTTCTTCCGCAATATCCTAGGGATCGACCTTTTTAAGATCTAACACTTGCTAATCCGACTGACTTAGATGCAAAGAAGAGTGAGTATAGGACGTCTCAAGACACTTCTCCCACACAACGGAAGTAATTACTCCGCCCAAGTTGCTGTTCCGTTTAGGCAGTGTCAATCATGACGTTATTAACACGCCCTCTAGCTACCGGTACTGTAATGTTTCGCTCACGCACTATCAGTTGCTAAAGCAACGAATACAAAAGGTATTCGTTGAACTATATTATAGTGGCAGATTTTAGCCCGGCATGGCCAGGTGGTTAGGGCGTTCGAATCCCCGTCCCACCAAACATGCTCGTCCTTACAGCCAGGGGAGCGTTATAATGTCACGGTCAATCTCATTATTCGTTGGTAAAAGAGTAGCCCAAGAGTTGGCAGTGGATGGTGATGACTAGCTGCCTTCCCTCTAGCCTTACACTACTAAATTAGGGACGGCTAGCGCAGATAGCCCACGTGTAGCTTTGTGTGAAATTCGAAGCAACTTTTACAGATGTCAATTTAAACTAAATTTGCAGTTTATTTGATATATCTCACTAAATAATGATATACACATATTTAAACGTATGTGAACTTAGTAGCATGAATAGCAGAATTTGAAAGTTATGTATCTAAAATTCTCTTTTTTGTATTCAGCAATTTTTGGAGCTTTGAAATTGTTGTAATAACTGACGGAGTAGACTTATAATTACTATCATCAAAGTATTATCACAAAGTCTAGACTAATAATTATTATCATCAAAGTATTATCACAAGGTCTAGAATTATAATTATCATCATCAAATATTATTACAAAGTCTAGACTTATATTTATTATCATCAAATGTCATTACAAAGTCTAGACTTATATTTATTATCATCAAATGTCATTACAAAGTCTAGACTTATAATTATTATCATCAAAGTCATTACAAAGTCTAGACTTATAATTATT